CCTCGCCCCCCGCCCGCAGAGCTCTCCCGCGGCTGTCCCGCAGGGATGTCCGGGTGAACCATGCCTATGGAGAAACTGCCGCCCCATCCCAAATCCTGGGATTCATTTATGATCTGGCACTCCCCAGCCGCTGCTGCGCAGGCAGACAGATGTCTTGTTTAGCAATTCCCCCTCCCCGTACCTCCTCCGCCAGGCACCCTCCACCATCACAACCATCCATCCACCACGACCATCCATCCACCACAACCATCCATCCATCACACCCTTCTGCGGCTGGAAACCGAGCTCAGCCCCAGCAGCTTCCAGCTGCTTCCCAATTTCCCTGCAACCGAACGTTTTCTCCAGCAGCGCCTTCCCCTCAGGATTAAACGCTCTTCAGGAGTTAATTCCTCTCTCCCCACACACTCAGCGTTTAACAGGATTAACTTGGCCACTTCAGTAGAGTAAACAGATAATAGATAGACTAGCCACTGCTTCAGACGAGAGCCTGGGAACGCTTCTCCACGCCGGTCGGCACGGCACAGCCGTTACCAGAGACCCAGAGACCGGAGCCGAGCATCAGGAGAGGGTCTGTAATCCGCCCTGCTCTCCCAGCAGGCAGGTGTCCCTGGAGATTGCTGTTCCCGAGCTGTGGGTGGAAGAATTCAGCACGAGACCTTGCAGCTCAGTCCTGCATCCCCCGAATCACCCCCAGCACAGCCGGTGGGGGGTCCCGGGCTCCCCGCACGCCTGCATCCCCTGGGTCAGCAGCGGAGCGCTGCCCAGGTTTGGTGGGTATCACGGAGACAGACGGTAACGTAAAATGAGCAATGGGGCAGTGACAAACTGAAAATGCTGAAGGACAGAAATCTAATTCCACTGTGGAAGCTTTTTTCTTTTCTCGTACCCCAGGGCTCGCTGCCCACGGGGCACACGCAGCCCCCGGCCGCGCAGAGGCAGCTGCTGGGAGCCTGGCGGAGGGGAGGGGGTGTAACCGCACCATGGGCTGCGCTGCTCCCTACACCAGGGTGTGCCCACGGTGTCAGAGGAGATGTAATCATCTGTTGTCAGCTGCTGCTCCGCACAGGGAGGCAGTTACCAAACCCTGCAGCAGGGAAATGCAAGGTGACTGCAAGGAGAGGACAGCTGGCTGATCCACTCACAGAAAAAAAAATCCCCCGAATCCTAACATCTGGGATTTTCCACTTTTTTTTTTTCCTGCAAGATCCCTGACTCCAGACGGAAGTCAGAATCACAACAGTTAAAACGCCTCAAAGTTTAGGTCTCTGCTTTATAAGGCTCAAAAAAAAAAAAAAAAAAAAAGCCAATGCAGTATTTTATATTTATATTTTACACCTGGCCACAACGGAGACGTGTTTTGAGAACAGACCCCCCCAGAGACAGGGAAACCGTCAGCCTGGGTGCCACAGAAAGCTGCTCTTGGGGGCTCTCCCCATTTCCTTAGTGCAGCCGAGGAATTTGTGCAATTCAGGGAATTTACCAGCGCGTTCAATCCAACTGTCACCATTTGTCCCAACCTGATTCTCCTCCCAGCCTGACTGGAAAAGGCTGGTGCTGGCAGTGCGGTCTGAGCAGCTGCCCTTCGCTTCTCCTGCACGCAGCCGCGGCACAGGACAGAGCAAACACCTCCCCCCAGCCCATCACCCCCGCCAGGCAGCAGCGGGGCTTTTTCCCTCTGCGTCCCGATGCTCGCTCGCTTGGCTCCAGACTAGAGGCAACAGACAACCTGGAAACTGGGAAACTGGCACCAGGCCTCCAACTTGTTCAGACAAATGAACCTTTTTCCAGGCTCCTAAGGTCCAGGATTCACACGAAAACTGTTGACACTTACTCTAAACATTCTTACAGGTCGCTGGGGTCCCGAAAAGGGAACTATGCTGCATGAGGCAGTCGGGTTTTGCAGGAAATCAATCTTATTTGGGTACACAAGGGCTTACATGTATTTCTTTGCAATTTTTGTTTTACTTGCATTTCAGAAAAAGGAAATCTATCACACCCTTGCCTAACACACGCAGCATCTAGCCTTCCAGAGTTTGCATCAGGCTGCCTCTCCCCCGGGGGACAGCAAGGTGACCCCTGAGTGCCCAAAGACAAACTCTGCACCTCACACATCCCGACCCCACACACCCCTCCATCCGCGCTCCTGCAACTCTGAGTACCGAGAAAACTCTCGTAACGTACAGCAGGACTTCAATTAATTAGAAATGCAAAACAACCATTTGCATAACGAATAAGAGCTCGGAAGCCAAGTCGAGCAACCGAGACAGCACCCGTACAGCAGCGCACAGAGCCCGCAAGCTGCTCGTGAAAACTACAGGCACCAGAAGAAATGAGCTTTTTAAAAGCCAGTTCTTAATCTGCTCCTTTCCTCCCTCTGTCCCTTTCAGTGACAGCCACCAAACCAGCAATCGAAGTGCAGCCCCTAAGCAAAGGGAAGAGTCAAACGCTTCCAAGACGCCTCCACTGGGACGAGCCCCTCCACCATGAGCATCTGCGGGTACAAGGCTGGAGGAACCCTCCTGGGGTCGCAAGCTCTGATCACCTTACCACTTTTCTCTGTTTAAAACAAAGAAAAATCCAGTCCCTCGTATTATCCAGGTGGCTAATCTGCTTTAAAAACAACCCTGCAGTTCATGTTGCCAAACAGGACAGTAAGGGAGTTTCAGAGTGAAGCAAGGCAGCAATTGTTGTAATAACGTTGTGCAGGCTCTTATGAAACGTGAGGATTGCTCTCTAACCACCCAAATACAAAAAGGGAAATCCAGCCTTTCAGTAACGTGAACAATAGCAAAGTTACAGGCTGGCTTTCGGCTTTGCTTCACATCAGAGCTTCCCATGTCTTCGGCGCTGTTTTTACGACAAGCTCCGTGGCGCTTCCTTTCGTGTGGCGGCTAGTCCTGACCTGCTCCAGCCCGAGAGCAGCCCAACGGCTCGGCTGAATCAACAGCCGGCTGGGGGATGCTGTCACCCGGCTTCCTAACCCGTGAATTCTGCCGGTACACCCAAATCCAGAGATTCTGAAGAAAAATTAACGTGCCATTGCACCACACTCAAAACCAAACATTTTCATGTAGATTGACTCTATTTATTATTTGACCACTGTTAACACACAAACTTCAGTGTGTTACTCTGTTCACAGAGGAACAACTACCAATGGCTTGTGTCTCTGGGAGAAATTAAATTATATTTTTTAAACGTTTCACTGGCTTTCACCTCTGATTTCTTCCCTTCTGTCTTGCAGAAGCCGGTCTTCAGAGATGAGCCATGTCAGAAGTCCCCGTGGTCAGGGACTGCACCTCAAGGCAGAGGTCCCGAGGCCAGTGGGGGTTTTACCGTCTGCCCACCAGCAGAAATGTGGAAATGAGCACAGGGCACCCCGGCCACACGGCCGGGAAAGCTGCTCACCAGGACGCGGAGGCAGCTGGCAGGACCTGCTCCTGCTCCTGCTCCAGCCCCCGCACAGGCTCCCCGCGGCTGTCGAGGCTGCCCGGTCTCAGAAGAGGGGGGCTGGGGACTCAGTTTCTCAGATCTTGAAGAAAAAAAAGAAAAAAAACCTGTGTATGGAGAAGTCCAGGCAGGGAACAGAGAGCAGTCCGAGAACAGTGACTTGGCAGCCACTGCGCTTGCAGCAGCGAGATTCTTTTTCTTTTCTCCTGAAGATTTAACGAGGGAGATGCTTCTCTCCCTTCTCTCTTTTATTTGCTTTCATTTTACGAAGGTGGCAGAAATGGGAAATTAACCACTTCATCCTCTACTGAAGAAAAATTTTGTCCTTATATAACTCCCCCTGTGATTATTGCAATGCTCTCAAGGCACTGAACTATTTCACTCCAAGTGTGTGTGCACCCAGGACCACCGAC